ATATCTGGATCCAACTGATAATCTTAACGTTAACCGATACAGATCTAGTTTTTTCAAAATCGTCGTCTGTGGGATTCAAACTCTAGACCTGCCATTTGGGGTGCGACAACTACTGCTCCAGTTTTTTTTTCTCAACCATTTCATATTTTTATAGAAGTATAACTTGAAATAAATAGAACTAAAAAAAGAAATTTATTTTTTTAGTAAATTATAATAAAATCTAGATTAGCTATATAGTAGAAGTACAAGAAGGCTCTAGTGAGTTTTAGACATGGATAAATGGTTTGTATAACTTGACATCCTAGTTCTAATTCTTATATATAATATATATATATTAGCATCATTATATATCAATCATTTAAGTATTAAATAAAGTCTGGGCAGATACTACACTCCAAATATTAAAAATAAAAATAAGAATTTTGCTATTTATCACTATTAGTGATTATCACTGATATTGCTATATCTTAAAAACATACCAAGTAAACAGGATCAGATATTCTAAGTAAAAATATTTAAAACTCTCAAAAACTTTACAAAAACTAAAATTAAGATTTTATATTAGCTTTATATTATATTATATAAAAAAAATAATTCTCTAATTTCTAACCTTAACCCTAATTCTAACAAATCTTAAGACTAGTGATAATCACTACTAGTGATATGTAGTAATTTTTTAAAAATAATTATTTAATTGATAATCTGCTAGTCAACAGAAAAATAAACATAGTGTAATGTAATGCAAATTACTATGTAAATCTAATATATTATAAATCCAAAAAATTTCTACTGTTTATCCAAAAAAAACTTTTTTTTGTACTAAGTTAATCGATTTTATAAATTAATTAAAAGTTGTAAAGCTCATCCTTGTGGTTTTAATAGTAGTTAAATTATCTAAATCAGTCCAGTGAATGCTAAGATATCTTTAAAAAATGCGTCAACAACTATATAAAATTTCTATATAAACAATATATTGTTTATATGGGGGTGAGTCAATAGAAAAGGAACAAATCATTTTTAGTAATTTTTTTTTAATTTTTAAATTAAAATATTTTAACAACTATTTAATCAAAATTGTTAAAAATTTTTTTATTTTAATCTTGAAATTATATAAAATTAAAATAAAAAAAAATTTATTAAATTTAATAAGATAATTGCTAAGATATTTAAGCTTAAAGTCAAGAAAACTTTTACTTAGAAAAAATTTGTCCCTTTTCTATTGACTCCCTCCCATATATAGATATTCTTCTAATTATTAAGCATTTTGAAGTATTTAAATCTTAAATATAGATTTAAGGCTCACCATTGAACCAATTACAGTAAATCTCTCATAAGTGTATCCTTTATAAGTATACAACCTCTCTAAATGCATGTTAAAGTTCTAACCCAAATATATTTATATCTTCTATAAATGCACTTTTTTTATTAATCTCTAAGTGCACACTATTAAAGCTTGGTCCCAAGAATATACACTTATAGGCTTTATTGTATTTTTCTAGATATTTTGATTAAAATTTAGAAAAAATCAATGAATTAAACATGTAGAAGAAATCTCAAAACTAATATCATTGAGAATATAATATCTATATTATTTTGTAAAAACTAGAAAAGTTCAAATTAATAATATGTACTCAAGTGATTTTGTTATTGTCCAATTTAATACTATAATACATTCAGATCTTTTTAAGTATATGCTCTTGAGATCATGCTTTAATAATGTGCATATAAAGAATAATAAGAAAAAATGTATTTATAGAGGTCGAGTATATATTTGGGCTAGTACTTGAGTATGCATTTAGTGAAGGTGTATACTTAGAAAGGTTTGACTATATTCTTTATATGCAGGTTGTTAAAGCATGATCTTAAGGGTGTACATTTAAAGAGGTTTGACTATATTTTCTTCTTATTAAACTATTGCTTCCAAATTAGCTATTTCTATTTTATCTTGCATAATCATCATCTTGTGTAAATGAAGACCAATGATATGATACTAAAAAGGGTATAGCAAGAGTCTTAATTGATAACCGCCAGTCAACAGAAGAATAAACATAGTGTAACGTGATACAAATCACTATGTAAATCCAATTAGTGATTTAAGCTGGCTAAGGCAGCCGCGGCTAAGCCGGCTTAGCTGGCTGAGCCAGCCAATGTAATATGTTCGGCTAGCTTATGTAGCTAAAAATTAGTATATAGTGGATTCCAGTAAATTCTAAAAAGTAAGCATAAAATATAAGCAAAATTTTTGAAAAGTTTACAGAAAATTTCCAGAAGTATAGCCATTAGCTAGCTGATTAGCCGATATCTTAGTCGCTGGCTTAGCCAGCCAACTAAAACCTTATGGCTTAAATTACTACCAATGGCCTAAGTGGTCACCTTTAATATTAAAAAAAAAAAAAAAAAAAAAAGATGATAAAATCACATGATTATAATTCATATATTGATCTGAGTGCCGATACAAAATCGAATGAACTGCCATACCCTTTCCGGATCTGAATAGATAAGTGCAGATTTTTTTTATATAATACAATAATTATCTTTAATGGTTGTTTTTTTTGTTTTTCTTTTACCTTTGCTTTTTTTATTTATTAATTTTTTTTTATTTAGCTGTCATCTTTTATTGCTAGTGCTAATATTAGTGCTATTATATATATGGAGATTTTATAATAATTACAAATACTGATAGTAAGTAGCTTAGTACCCTTTCATGTTAATATTGCCAGTGCAGATTCTTTGCTGTAGTTTTGTTTTTGTTGGTAGTTTATTTTATCATTGATATGATTAAACTACCACTTTTTTTTCAATTAGATATCCTTTTGGCATTTCTTTTGTCTAGTTGCTTGATATTGCTATTGTAGTAGTAGTAAGTAGTTTAGTACTTTTCTGCATTGATATTTTTAGTGTAAATTCTTCACTGTAGTTTGTTTTATTGGTAGTATATTTCATTGTTGATGTGATTAAACTACTACTTTTTTTTTCAATTAGATGTTTTCTTTCGTGCTTGGTGCCACCACTATAGTGGTAGGTAGGTTAGTACTCTTCTATATTGAACTAGTGCTGTAGTTTTGTTTCATTGGTAGTATATTTTATCATTGATGTGATTAAACTACTACTTTTTTTTTCAATTAGGCATTATTTTGGCATTTCTTTCATCTAGTCTTTTGACATTGCTTGATGTCGCTATTTTAGTAGTAGTAAGTAGTTTAGTACTTTTTTATGTTAAACTAGTACTATGGTTTTGTTTCATTGGTAGTATATTTTATCATTGATATGATTAAACTATCACTTTTTTTTAATTAAGCATTATTTTGATATTTCTTTTGTTTAGTCTTTCAACGTTGCTTTGTATTACTATTTTAGTAGTGATAAGTAGTTTAGTACTCTTTTGCATTGAGCTGATGCTATGGTTTTATTTATTAGTAGTATATTTTATCATTGATGTGATTAAACTACTACTTTTTTTTCAATTAGGTATTATTTTAGCATTTCTTTTGTCTAGTCTTTTGATATTGCTTGGTGTCACCATTTTAGTGGTAGTAAGTAGTTTAGTACTCTTTTGTGTTGAGCTAGTATTATGGTTTTGTTTTGTTGGTAGTATATTTTATTATTAATGTGATTAAACTACCACTTTTTTTTTTAATTAGGCGTTATTTTGGTATTTCTTTTATCTAGTCTTTTGACATTGCTTGGTATCACCATTTTAGTGGTGGTAAGTAGTTTAGTACTCTTCCACATTGAGCTAGTGCTATAGTTTTGTTTTGTTAGTAGTATATTTCATCATTGATATAATTAAACTATCACTTTTTTTTCAATTAGGCATTATTTTGGCATTTCTTTCATCTAGTCTTTTGATATTGCTTGGTGTCACTATTTTAGTAGTAGTAAGTAGTTTAGTACTTTTTCATGTTGACTAGTACTATAGTGTTGTTTCATTGGTAGTATATTTTATCATTAATGTGATTAAACTACACTTTTTTTTTAATTGGGTATTATTTTGGTATTTCTTTTATCTGGTCTTTCGATGTTGCTTTGTGTTACCAGTTTAGTAGTTGTAAATAGTTTAGTACTCTTCTGTATTGAGCTGGTGCTATACAGTAGTTTTGTTTTGTTGGTAGTATATTTTATTATTGATATGATTAAACTACCACTTTTTTTTCAATTAGGCATTATTTTGGTGTTTCTTTTATCTAGTCTTTCAACGTTGCTTTGTGTTGTTGTTTTAGTGGTAGTAAGTAGTTTAGTAATCTTCTGCGTTGAGCTAGTACTATGGTTTTGTTTTGTTGGTAGTATATTTCATCGTTGATATGATTAAACTACTACTTTTTTTCAATTAGATATTATTTTGGCATTTCTTTCATCTAGTCTTTTAATGTTGCTTGATGTTGCTATTTTAGTGGTGGTAAGTAGTTTAGTACTCTTTCGCATTGAGCTAGTGCTATAGTTTTGTTTTATTGATAGTATATTTTATCGTTAATGTAATTAAACTACCACTTTTTATCAATTAGGCATTATTTTGGTATTTCTTTTGTCTGATCTTTTGATATTATTTGGTGTTACCATTTTAGCAGTAGTAAGTAGTTAAATACTCTTCTGATAAATACTCTTCTGCATTGAGCTAGTGCTATAGTTTTGTTTCATTGTAGTATATTTTATTGTTGATGTGATTAAACTACTACTTTTTGTTTCAATCAGGTATTTCTTTCATCTAGTCTTTCAATATTGCCTTTGTAGTGGTGGTAGATAGTTTAGTACTCTTTCCTGTTGAGCTGGTGCTATTGTTTTGTTTCGTTGGTAGTATATTTCATTGTTGATATAATTAAACTACTACTTTTTTTCAATTAGGCATTACTTTGGTGCCTTTTCATATTGTAGTATATTATACAGATCATAAATTATTAATAAATAAATCTTTATATATACTGCTTATTATACAATGATATTTGAAATATTTGTTTTTCAAAACTTTTCAAGCAATAAAAGTAGGGCTTTCTTTTGTAACCTAGATTTGTTAAAATAATTTGAATTAGTGCATATGCATGTCCCAAAATAACGTATCATTATGTATCAATACAGTATATAAATTTTTTTTGCTTTGAATTTTATTGGCTAATAATTAAGTTCATAAAGTAAGATCAGATGTCAGATTTCATAAACACTTCTGATCAACCAGTGATCTGAAAAAATAAGTCATATGACTTTCTTTATTTTAATTGATTACCAGGCCAGAGATATATAAATTATATATCTCTAGCTAGAGATGCCTAGAAAACCTTCTTTTTTTATACCCTATTTATTTTTGAGAAAAAAATCCAGTAATTGTAATATTTTATATTTGTTTAGATATTTTTAGATTCCTATTTTTATATTATATATACCCTATTTTGTATTAATTAAGCTGAGATATTTTAAGTTTTTATTTTATTTCTTTTTAACTTTATATATTTTACTTTAAAATTTTCTTGTTTAGATATCTTTATACATTATTTTTATATTTGATTTTATTCAATTCTATTGAGAATTGAGACTGGAATACTTTAAGATTTTATTACCTTATTTATATATTTTTTTTATATATTTTTAATAACTAGTTATTTTATTTATTTTTTTTCAATTACTTTTATTTAAATTGTAATTTTTATCGATATTTATTTAACTTCAAGATTTTATTTTTTATATACTCTATATTCAACTTTTAATATTATATATATATATATATATATTTTTTAGTATTAAGATGACTTCTTGAGTTGGCAAGTTTTATTAAATAAGTTATAAGCATTATATATTATAACAAAAGTACATTAAACCACATGTACACTTTTGGTGCCTAATTTAAATAGTCTGGCCAAAGATTCTACACTATCTGCCATACCTGCAACCCAACTATGAGGGTTACCTATTTAAACTTTTTAATCACAATATACTATCTATTTTTATTTAATATAGGTATAACTTATCTTTTTTATATATAGATTTTTGCGATACTACTATATTACCAGCCACTTTAGAACTAATTTATCCTTAAAGTAAATCTAACAGAGCAGTACATGTTATATATATATATTTATCTGTATGTTTAGTAACCTCTTTTTAACTTATACCTGTTATATTGCTGCTACTGGGTTCATATTTTAAGCCATCTTTTTAGAATACTGCTATAACCTAGTCTATATTTCAAGCCACAATCTTTCTAGTTAGTCTTTGGTTATTTATTTCTTGTCTTTGTAGGTTCACATAGTATCAATACCCACATTCAAACTTTTCTTTTTCTTTAGATTCTTTACTGGTCTTTCTTTTATTTCTAGCCAGCAACCTAAAAGAGTTGATCTACCTAGGCTTTAGGTACTTTATAGTTACCTTTCTCATGATATATACTTTTAGAGCATATATCCTTTTTATCTGGTTGGCAAACTAGCAGTTTGTCTGGTATGTCCCCTCACTTAAGAACCTGGTTGTTTAGTTCTTCAATCTTGGTTCCTAATTTTAAATTTGGTCTTTCTGTAGCATCATCAAAAGTCATATTACCTTCCAACTTGGGACTTGCTAAACAGGTTTTCAGTTATTCTGATTTCTTGTATTTATTATGCTGAAGCTTCCATTCAAGATAGTGTTATCAAGATTACAAAATAGGATCTAACTGATTGGTAATAGCTATTAACCATATTACAGAGTTAATTTTTGAAAATGTTATTCATAGGATTTGAACTCTAGACTTGCTATCTAGAGCTGCAACAACTTCACTACTTTATTAAGTTGCCACACTCTGACTTTTAATATTTTAGTTTTACTATTTTTTTAATTTATATATTTTTAGTATTTTATCTGCAAATTTATTTTCAATAACTTGATTATTTTTTTTTTAATTACAATTTTTATTTATATTTAACTTTAATATTTTATTTTATTTTTTTATTTATTAATACTCTAATAAGTATTAATTTTATTTATTATATTTTAAACTTCTATGTTTAAAGCCTTTAATTTTTATTTACAAAAACAAAATTCTAAGAAAATAAAAAATGACAATAACAAATACAACTATTCTATATATAAAAATACTCTATCTGCTTCTTCTTCTTCTATTTTCTTCTTCTTCTATTCTTCTTTTTTTATTTTCTTTTTTTTTTCTTTCTTTTTCTTTTTTAAATACAAGTTGATAAAGAAGATTTCATAAAGCAACATTATAATGTTCAAACCAAATATGATATCTATTCTATTTCTTAATTAGATTTTGGTACTCTTGGTCTCATAAAAGGAAGTCTTGTAGATACTCAAAGGCTAAGCAGTTTAGCTCTTTAATAGTTGCACATTGATTGTTTACTTGTTACTATAATTGTTTATAGATATAATAATTAATAGATAAATTATTGATTAATTTATTTATTTTCTTTTACTATTTATACTTACAATATATATTTATAAATATTATTATTATTATTATTAATATTATTATTTATTTTTTTTTTTTTTGATGTTAAGGTGATTTCTATAGCCAGGAGCTTTTTATTAAATAATTAATAATATTTACAATTATAATATAAGTACAACTAGCCACACATACAACTTTTAGTTATTTATTTTAAGTAGTCTATCTGAGTTCTATACTAGCTACCATACTTGCAATTTGACTAAGAGATTATCTATTTAAACTCTTTGGCTTTTACAAGTAAAAGTATGACTAGCCATGCTTGCAACTTTTAGTTGCCTATTTAAGTAGTTTGCCCAAAGTTCTATACTAGCTGCTATATCTGCAACCCAACTAGAAGGTTATTTATTTAAACTTTCTGATCACAACTAGCCTATCATTTCTTACTTAACCAAGATGTTACTTACTATTCATATGCTAGATTTTGCAATATCTATAGATTTTATACTCTATCTAAAACTACTTTATCTTTGAAATAAATCTAACAAAGCAGTATATGTCTTATACATATATTTACCTACATGTTTGGTAACTTCTTCCTAATTTAGTACTTGTTGTGTTGCTATCTCCAAATTCATGTCTCAAGCTATTTTTTAAAATATTGCCATAATCTGATCTGTATTTCAAATTACAACCTTCTTATTTTAGTAGTTGTTACATACTTCTTGCCCTTGTATTTAGATTTGTACAACCCCAGCACCTACATTCGAACTTTTCTTCTTTTTCAAATTCTTTATTGGTTTTTTCCTTACTTCCAGCCAGCAACTGGAAGAGTTGGTTTACCTAGACCTTAGATATCTATATAGTTTTCCTTCTCTTGGTATATACTTTCAGAGTATATATCCTTTTTCTTTGGTTTGGCAACCTGGCAGTTCAGCTAGTATGTCCTCCTACTTAAGAACTTGGTTGCTCGGTTCTCTGATCTTGGTCTTTGGTTGCAAATTTGG